AATTCTACATTTGTAATCCGGCACAGACGGACCTCCACTTCTTCTTGTGATATTCAGTATGGTAACATATGCCCTAATAATCTAATTGACCGTAGGTTTTCATGTTTTCACCTTTTTTTCAACTTCACGGGTTTTCATATGATTTCATAGCCATTATGTTGTTATTGTTATTTATGTCGTTATATGTTATGATGTGTACAATATTTTAATAAACACTATAAGTGAAGATCAAACATACAAAAACAAGTTAGGATTAGGAAACAATCAAATACAACCAATCGTATTTATTTATTTGAATTTATTTCAACCAATCGTATTTATTTATTTACATCAAACCAATCAAGTAAGAACGAATGTCAGCACAGTCTCTAGGGGGATGAGGGCAAAAAGCAGCTCTGTGTCAAAGTTCCCTTTGACACAGGCAGCCCATATCCATCATCATATTGTGGAGAACTGCGCATGCTATGATGACTTTAGCTGCACGTTTAGGTGTCACGCGGATCTTCTCATTCAGTATGGCGAACTTTTGTTTCCACCTTCCGAAGGCACATTCTACGGCAACTCGCATCTTTTTGTGCCATCTGTTATAGGACACTTCCTGCTTGGCCGATGGATTTCTAATGTGCGTGATGATATCGTTCCCATTAGCAGATCCAGAGTCTTCAAGGAAACAATATCGTAGTACTCGTCCTTCTTTGAAAGCATTTTTCATCTGGGAACAGGCGTAGATGCTAGTATCGTGCACAGAACCAGGGAATTGTCTCAAATACACAAACCGTCCGCGGGCATCAACAGCAGCCAGCACATTGAGGGCAGGAAACCTTTGCGACAGTAGTACTGCCAACCCGAGTGTGCTGGTTTTTGTACTTTGATGCAGCTTCCGTCTATCGCGTTTACGTCTACAACGTTCGGGAAACGGTCAGTACGTGCGAAGTCAGCGGCATTCTTTTCGCAATATTTCCTATCCCCTAATCGACACCGAGAAGTGGCGTAAAATTAGTGGATGATTTAACGCTTTCACTACTTCTCGCACAGCGTTAGACACCGTCCTCTGGCTGATCCCTATGGTGTCA